ATCTCTTGTTGTCGAACTCAACCCTCCTTTGATAGAAAAAGCATGCGTGTATTATGGAGTTTTGCAGAGATGGTTTCAATTGTTGAATTGTTTTTCTATTTCCGCTTGAGCTGAAAAAAACAAGGAGGTACAGTCAACAAACCAATTATAGCATTATACTCGTCATCAGGCTTTTCATGAGGCAAAACGTAGCATTTTTAGACGTGTCTGGAGCAAAAGTAGTGGGTTTTTCTAGGGACACGTAAGAACTTGTCTTTGGTCAAGTGTGAATAAGATAAGAATGAGCTGCGAGTTTTTTTTTACTGTAGTAATAGAGGCTTTGGCCTCGCGGCTTTATATGCATGACTGCTCAGTGGCTCTATGAATAGACTCCGCAATAGACGATTAGTTTCTCCCTCACCTAAAAAGAACCCCAAATTTCCTCCCTTCACTCTCACTTGCTCGTTAGCACTCCTCTATAATCATAATTACAAAGTTAAAATTACTGACTTAGAAGATCAAATTGTTACCTTGAAGGATTACTGTTTCGAAGCACTTACACTTTCTTCTTCCGTTCATACTCTGTTGCTCACTTAAAGTTTACATCCATTCCAGAGTTTCAAGACTACGATGTGTGCACTTTTATTGGAAATAAGATTTACAGACCTTCTTACTTCTCATTATTCAAAATAAGTTTTACAGACCTTCCTCACTGAGGAGTTCCGGGGAAGGTCTGTAAATACTTTTACTCTGTCTAAGGGCAGGAACGAAACGGAGTTTTTTGGTTATTTACACATGATGAACTGAAAACCTTTTATTCTTATTATATAAACGATTAGTATTTAGATTTATCCCAAAACAGGAATGAATAAAAGAATTTGCCACGTTTCTATTACAAATTCAAATCATGAGTCATTTGCAATGTGGCTATTCATGCTATGAATATTCATTGAATTTGTAATGGAAAAATCGTCATAGTCTCCCAAAACATGTCTGACTGTGTAAAATTTCTGAATTCGAAACGGTAGGAAGCTTTGTTTTGTAATTGCTGAGAAACACTTACAACTTTGTCCAGAAGATCGCATTTTATTGACGTAAATCTACGCGGTGTTCGCAAATTCCTTACAATTCCTTCATTACAAAATCTTGAACATTTTCTCCTAATGCTAGATTAAAGACCAATTTTCACCTGCAAGTTTAATCTTAAAGAAGTTCAAAGGTCTGAGAAAGTTGAGAATCTGCTCCGTGTCAGTTGTAGCTGGTACCGTTACCTTTTTTAGCAAAATGAACTCACTGAGGCTGTCGCTAATGTGTATTGTATTCAACTAATTTGTCTTTGACATGTCAAGCTTGTACCCTTGTACCCTTGATAATGTTCAAAGAAGTGCTTGAGACCTTGATGAAAGAAGATAATTTTGGTACATCGTTATTATCAAGTATTCATGCACTTGGCTTATTTACAGCTGTATACGCTGTAATTACCGTATTCAAATTTCCTTTTGCATCAAGCTGAACAAGTAAACTTTGGTCTTTCAATTTATGAGAGAACTTACCGTGGAGGTTGTTTCATTCACAAATTTTTCCCGTTTCTCTCAGCCGGCTGTGAGGACTGCGAAGCTTTTCCAAGTAAATAAACGGGAACGCCTCCTTTTGTTTATTCACTCTATAAAAACTAGAAACTTATTTTTTGAGTGCTCCTCTCAATCTAACAAACGAACCTCCTTCCTTGCTCTTGAAATTTCCACCTCAACTCTCTTGATTTCTGCACCCACTTCTTTTCTAGAAAAATCAGCGTCCAGGAAGAGGAATCTTTTTGTCGACGTAAGGGCTCAAAAAAGCATTGCAGATTAGGAATCCTTGCAAAAATTTGTGCATCTAGAACACTCTTATGAAAATAATCAGGAAATCCGCGTTTTTATCTATACATCTGCTCAGAAGCCTTTATACTCATTTCCAATTTCTAAAGCATCCATGTTATTGAAGTCCCCATTGACTTACACGTTCACACTGTCCTTGAAATCCTCTTGTTACAAAGAGATGGGTGTTTCTCACGTTTTATGAGCTGCGGACTTGTTCACATAATCTTCTGCTGCAAAACAGTAAATTTCAACATTTTTTGAAGTCTAGAAATTTTAAAAATCATGAAAGGTATTGCCTGCACACGAAAATTTTGCTTTTGCTTAACTCTATTTTTCGCCGCAGATGTTAATTGGATAATGCAACGAATTCCTAATAGCTCTTAGCTTTGAGAATGAATGATTTGTGGCTAGCATTAATATTCTCCATTGAGATTTCTCTTCAATTCTCTGCATTATTATTCCATATTGATTTGTAAAATACATATATACAGGGTGTCCCAAAAAGATGTGAACACTGTTTAATCGTTGATAACTCTCTTGCTTTCATGTCTTTCGCCAAGCTTGAGGTACCATTCTATAGACCGAGGTTCAACTTAGATTACAATGTGGAAATCACCAGTCACTTTTTGTTAATGTAGGATTACGGTTAAACTTTCAGCATAAAGTACCATTGTGGAGTACGCTTTTTGGTGAAATAACTTATAAAAACGCTGAAAATTTTTGTAGCGAGGTTTTCAGAAGTGCTGATTCCACTACACAACTTTTTACAATTTTCCGAGCTTAATGGTGTAATCACATTTCTGACGAACATTGGGAAAAGGTTGCTACCCTAAACTCAAAATAGTTTATAAAGGAAGCATTACAGCCTTGAGAATTAGTGCCTTCGATTGACCCTACAAGAGTTTTTGACTTGTTTGTTTTCTTTCTAAGGCAAAACATCTTCAATGGCCTACAACCCTTCTCGAAGTTCCTACTGTAATCCTACAGTAATGAAGAGTGATTGATGATTCGCTCCATACTCTCAACCTAAATTGAACCTCGCTCTACAGAATGGTACCTCAAGCTCGGCGAAATACGTGAAAGGAAAAGTTATTAACGACTGAACAGTGTTCACGTTATTTTCGGACATCCTGTATGTTTCAGTCCAAACACGAAAACGTTAGATTTGATCAAAAAAGTCCTCCTTAGCTTGTGCTTTCCATTATTTACGTTTGTTCTTCTATCAACGTTATTCGTACGCAACTGGCTCAAAAACTACACAAATGAGGCAATTTGAGAAAAAAGGAGAAAGTGCTAATTTTTGCCTGCTCTCTAAATCATTTTATTCCGAACCAAATCTCAACCCTTTGAAGTGTACTCAGCTACAGTCAGTGCCAATTGCGTACTCTTTTGCATGGGAACAACGCATGCGCAGCGCAAGGACCCTGCGTGCGGACCTCCAATGGATGAGGCCCATTTGAGTGCCCGAGTCATACGCGCGCGAACGTGACGCGAAGCTCATTACGTTTACGGAAAAGGGAGCACGTGATAGACACAAAGTTGTATGTTGAACTTCATCCAAGTACTTTACCCCGGACATTCTCAATCATATTATCAATAATTGTTTAGGTAGGCGAAATTGTTTCACTTGTTCGTTCTTCAATCAAATTGTGAACGGAGGCAGAACTTCCAATCAGGCTTCCACTCAAATCTTCATTGCCGTATTCAAAAGAATTGAGTTATTGGTCGAAATGCAATACTCTGGGGGACATTGAGCGTTTGTAATCGAAAGTTTTCGATAGTCTTTGAGAACTCGGCTATTAGACGGGCGTAAACGATCTCATTGGGGTTGTCTACTCGACGTGGTCGCGGGGGGGGGGGGGGGGAGGGTCTGACGGGGAAAATATTCTCATTTAGTACTTAGCCGATACTCGCAACATTCTGCTGTCAAATTGTCTTTCGCCTTCGATCGTTATTTCAACGCTTGCTACACATAATTGAGTAGACCACAGTGGCTGGCTCACTCTCAAAAATGATCTAGAATTTTGGAATAAAAATTAATAAACACAATAGGTGTGTACAATTTAGGGATGCTAAAAACCATTTAAAAATCGAATCTATTTCAATAAACTAGCGCGGAAATTCGATTTCTATAGCTACATCTAGCATGTTAAAACTACTTTGAAAATTATCTGACACCATAGCGCAAGCAATTAGTACCATATTTTGAAATTTATTATCTCAGCAATGTTAAGATTGCTTGCTTGTATTGTTTACCCATTTTCTGACTTACAACCTACATAGTTCCTCCATAATAACCAAACATCTATCGCATAAGAAATTGCCAAATCTCAGCTTCAACTAATTCGATGAAGTATGCTTTATTTGTTGCAGATTCGTATTTGTTCTCTCCTCATTTTTTTCACAAAATATCATGATGGAAATTTCTTGTGTTTTGGAAAGTTTCCATGGCTAAGCGCTCATGCTGCCTTAACAGATTAGCAATCTGTGTATAAAAATCCTTCCGAGTTATTCAGAAATCTTTCTCAAAATTCAGTATTAGCTCGAATACCAAAGTTTGGTAACTAACTTTCGGCTGTTGCAGGGCTTAGCTCAAATCTTTTCCACTCTTCTAATTCCTTCACTCAGACTATTCTTTTTGTATTGCATCGTATGTTCGTGCAAACGCATACGAAATAGTTTGAAGCTTTGCTGAACATGAACGTCCAACATACTAATAGCTCATTTTTTCGCCATTTTCTATTGTTGACGTAAACACGCATTCGAATTAGTTGCATGTCAAGCTTTTTAGACATTTTTACGCATCCTTCGGTAAGCAAGCAGCTGCTACAATCCTTTTCAATATGGTTGTGATTATGAGGTAATTAAGCAAGTGTTTATTACATAATTCAATTTCTTGCTCTATTCATAATTCAGATGATAATATTCAGCCAATATTGGTAATTTGAGGTAGCATAGTGAAGTCTTAGTGATACTTAATGTCATGCGAAACCTTGCAAACTAATTAAGGTTTAGAAGCTACTTGACCAGCTGATCTGAAATAATTGTTTGAACTTATGAAAAATTCGCGTTGATATCATCAAGCGTTTTATATCAAGCAAACATAAAGCTTTTATTTACAAGCAAGCCATTAGTGGTCATCATTATACATATCCCATTTAGGTTATGATAATGAATATCGAAGATCTTGACAAGTACTGTAACCGATCACTGAACCGTGACGCGCTAACGGAGGCTGAGTACAGATCTGCTCCATTTGACGATTACTGTCTTCAGGTCATTTTTTTCTCACTCCATCATGAAAATGGACCAATAATGCTCTGCTCTATTAAATTTCATTATAGGTATTCTTTTATCAACTGCAAACATCACTTCGTCGATTCAATGAATGGGAGGAAATTGTCTACACTACTATTTACGTAATAATCTCCATTCTAGCCGTAATCGGAAACGGCTTGGTAAGCACACTTCTATTTTTTTCCGTTTCTCCTTGCTGTTTTCACGCTCCTGCTGACTAATAAACTGGGTTAGAATACTAATTGGAGCAATCGTCATCATTTCATGCAGCACCCATTACCGATAACTAATCATAGATAATGGTTATCTAGTTGACTAATGCGACTAGAAGGAAGTAAAGTTGATCGTCATCTGTTTAGCCGCAATTAGTGCTAGATAAAATTCTCAGATTTTTATCGGAAAAGTGACGTGAGGAGAAGAACAAAAAAAACATGTGTAGTTTTCATTCCTCTATGTAACAGACACATTTGAGGAAGACATGAATACAAATTTTACTATTAATGTTACGTTTTACAGGTGATTATCGCTGTACTCTGGAAAAAGGCGATGCGAACGAATCGCAATGTTCTTATTCTGAATCTTGCGCTGTCTAATTTGGTGAGTTTGAAGAGTATAACAGGTAAAACACTTCTCTCAAAATCATTACTAAGCTGTTTAGTTTTCTTTCATAAAGATAAATTCTTAAATCTCCCAAATGTGCGTCCTAATCTTCGAGCTCAAAGGCCGAGCATACATCACGCGATTTCATCGCCTCGCTGCTTTTCCAACAAGGCAACTGTTACGAGTCCATTGTATGCCGATCATCTCGCATTTCGGTTCTGATAATTAGTAGCGACCTCGCTCTGGCAATCCAACACAAATGAAATGCAAGATAATCGGCATGCAATAAGCCAGTGACAGTTGTCCTTTCGGATAAATCGCGAGGCGATGAAATCGCGTGATGTATGACCAGCTCTTGAGAAGATAATCCTCTCCATAATAAAGTATCATTCGTAAAACTTTGTGCCAGTTCCCGTCATCCAGTCTTTCTACAAAATTCGTTAGGCTAATCAAAGCTCGACTACCACTGCAGACTGCTTGACTACCCCTAATTTCTGCTTGCAAAACTCCGACTATCAAAACAATCTAAAATCTAAACCGAAAATTGCAGGTGCTTGCTCTAATCAACATCCCATTTCTTTGGTTACCATCGATTGACTTCGAATTTCCATATTCGCGGTTTTTCTGCAAAATTGCTAATGTACTTCCTGGAAGCAATATCTACTGTTCGACGCTTACCATTTCCGTCATGGCGATTGATCGGTAATTTTTTAAATTGATGGTGGCTATACTCATACACCAAATGTACAGACCCAGAGGTTCATGCATAACATTTGGTGAAAGGCGAAAGTCTATGAAACATAGAGACCATACATCAATTTTTTTCCACCTGCACACATTACTTAGGGAATTTATAGGTTCAGTAAATGACATGACGATGGCGGCAGCGAACTGCTTTGCGCATAGAAATTTAGCAAATGGATAATTGAATGCTTGCAGCCCATGTGAATTTGTATTCAACCAAGTATGAAAACGTAGCTAGAAATGGATGCATTGATGTTGCTTATTTATAAAGCTTTCCCCTTATCGGGAAAAAGTAAAGTAAACTCAACAACAATCTTGACCTCTAATCTGATAGTAAATGAAAAATATAGTTTTTTTAGTCTTAAAAATTTTTCAGAACATTAGCGCGAAAGTAAGGTATCCGTTTTTATCGTAATAACCTCTGAATGGGCAAGCGTACCGATAAGAAGTACGCGACAGTTCAGCTTACAATTTTTGCAGAAATGATTTCCGATGTACAGCCTTTCCTTCTGTATATAATCTTTGATGAGAATGAACTCCGACAGAAACGGAATTGTACTGCTTTTTAACTCCGTATATGATGCGTTATGGAGTAACGTTACGTTTACAGTTTTCAGTAATGTTAAAGAAATCTGTAGTGAAGCTCCTTACTCAAGACGGTGAATTACGTTGAGCACAAAATGTTTTGTCTTGCTGAATAAAAGGGAAATTGTCTTTGATTTGGAGTCGTAACAATGAAATTAGGCTTAGCTGAGAAATCGTGCAGGAATTTTCGAGCGTTGTGGACAATTTTTCTTTTTGAGCGTTAATGTCTACTCAAAACTAGGCGGTTTATCATGGCTTGCAAGATCTAAACAGCAGCTAATCACCTGCTCAAAAACGTTTCCAAAGTCAAACAACAATATGTTCATTATGAAAGAACCTCTCAATGTTTCTCAAATCCTTTTGAAGAAAAAAGCAATTTTGAGCGATAGGAAAATTCATTTTCAGTGTGGATCTGTGAAATGATGCTGGTCACTTTTTCTGCTTTCAACTTCTCCATATCAACAAAGTGCCTTTTTACAACGTTTAAGATTTTTTGCTTACGGATTTGCTGCTGTAACTTTTTCCTTCTCAAATATATGGAAACTCTCGAAGTTCTCGTGTAAGAAATCTGCATCCGGATTAATCCCATCTTTTTATCGCTACTTGGCAAGCAAATATGAGGAAATGAAATCAGGAGACGTGAAGCTACAAGTGGTGCTAATAATATTAATATTTATTGATCCAAGCTAGAAGAATATCTTCGAAATCCACAAAAAATTCATTTCGATGATGTTCTCTATCTACAGGTACTATTCCGTAAAACAGTTGAAAGTTGCGTCAAACCGACGGCAATGTATGAAAGCGATTTGTGTATCTTTGTCTATATGGGTGGTTTCATTCCTTCTTTCTTTACCCCTTCTCCTCTACTACGATACTACCATGCTCTACGTTGTAAAGGTAATCTACTAGTCATATGAAAGCGATAGGCGATTCATCGCAGCACGGACTGGACGTCGCTGCGTCCGACTATGATAGTTCGCGCATGAGAGAGACAGCAGACGGCAAGAAGGGTAATAGAGCGCTCGATGGCGCGAAACGCCGACAGTGTCCGTAGTAACGCCCAGTCTTTGCGTGCGATGAATTGAATGTACGTATAGCAATAAATGCTTATGTTCCAGGATGTGAATGTTCTGGATGAAAAGGGTGGGATAAAGCTGCGTAGCTACGGGTGGCGACAATGTCGCTTAGCACCATCACGATCGACAACGTTGGAAATGTCCACACAAGAGATCCAGGTATCCAAAATTTCTACCGTAATCCTATAGTAACCGAGAGGGATAGGTGATTCGCTCTATACTGCATACTAAGTTCTACTGCACCTCCAAACAATAAATTTATAATCCGTTTCAGTTGCTGATGTCGCTGCTCCAAGTCGTTTCGCTCTACATCGTGCCACTGTTTGTACTATCAATCTTTAATGTGAAACTGACGCGTTTCTTGAAAACGAATGCTAACCAAATGGCGAAAAATCGTTCGGAAAGCAGAAGAAGACGAGACGGTGATGGTTCGAAAAGAAATGGAGAGGTTTGTATCTTCCCCAACCCAAGATAACCTGCTGATTCCTCTATATTTGTAGATCGGTACACGTTCGCAATCGAATCCTTCTCTGAGAAGTTCCATAGCGGAACGAGCAAGCGACAGAAGGACGAGTAGAACCACGGCTCTACTTATTGCTATGGCTGGAAGTTATGCTGCTCTTTGGCTTCCGTTCACGCTTATCTCGCTTCTTCTAGATTTGGACATTTTATATGGGGTAAGGACTTCTCCGGAAGGAATTGTGCTACACTCAAATACCAAGTTGTACATAACTTGCAACTGATTCCATAACATCCAAATGTGACATAGTGGGCTACAAATATGCGTAAACTGCTAAATTTTTGGTAGCAAAATGGAAAAATTCACTCCTTTTCCGGAAGCTGGTCAAATTGGGAAATACAGTGGGCTGCCGCTCTCTGAATCAAATGCGTCAAGCCTAAAGTGTATATAGATGTTAGAGTTTTATCCAACAACTATATCCAACACTTTTGAGTTTATGCGTGTGATTCAAGCAAACGGTTTCGTTTTGTTTTTTAGCCCATTGAAATTTCTAATTTGGTCAGCTTGCGAAAAATACGTTAATTTCTTCTAATTCGCTACCAAAAACCAAGCAGTTTGCTCATTTTTAAATTTGTAGCTCGCTATCTGATTTAGGAGTCAAAAATTGAGTGCTCCGCACTTAAGAAGAGAAAAATTATGAAAGTTGCGAAACTTAATGTATCAATCTTATACTCAGACAACTGACCGCAACTTCCACAGAACGTTTGGGTGACTTCCGCCGATTCACCTGCGGAAGTTCCCAAATAAGGTGCTGCGGAAGTTCCGAAGAATGCGAGCTACAACAGCAAAAGAAAACATCTAAGCAGTTTGAACCTTACTCTGTTGACTGCGAGAGCGGAAGTTCCCGTTTTCAGCCAGTCTGATGTAAAAATTCTGCGGAAGTCTGCATTTTCAAGGTTTCCTTTTTGTAATAGTAGTCAAAGTCCTGCGGACCACTGCAAATTCGGCTTGTCCTACGGAAGTTGCGGTGAATTGTCTGGATAGATGCATTCGTAAAGATTTTACTTTACGCATCTCTGTTTCAAATCATTTCTTGAATTCCTAAATTCACTTGATCACAATTCTACTTTTTAGGAATCCCACGTGGCTGTGATTGAACGCATCGATCAGACATGCAAAATGGTCTCAATGCTTTCCATATGTGTAAATCCATTCCTCTATGGTTTCCTCAACACAAATTTTCGACACGAATTCTCCGAAATCTACTTCCGTTATGTGCTTTGTCGAGCGAAGACCACGGGACAAGCGCGATTCCAGCACGATTTCTCATCGCTGGCTGTCAATACAAGGTGGGGGCAGTCAGTCATTCTACGTGATTGGAAAAATGAGGATTACTTCCTTCCTCATAGCTGCAGCCAAAACATATCCCTATCAAGCTATCGTTGATTGACGAGATTTTTTTTTTGCTTCTTGGCTATCAGCTTTTTCGTTGACAATTTGCCTTTCAGACGTAACTCCGTATACGTGGGGGTAAATGAGGAGAATACTGGTCTGTGCTCGATATTACGTCGTTCATTCATAGGTTCCGTGGACCGTCTTCGATCTCCAATGCGTCATCAACCAACGAGGTGATCGCTTATATTAGCGTCTCTATGCTGGCATAATTATGCCGGGGGCACGAAAAAATTCTGAAAGTCATATACGATGTTACATTACGAAAGAATTCCATGCAGTTGTTCCAAATCTCAAAAGACTGTCAAATTTTGTTTGTATAGCGCTTAGATGTTGAAGTTGGAAAACAAAACTCAAATACAGTCTGTCTCAATCGGGATTAGATCGAACCGTCTCATTAGCGCTTCTCGGCGCTAGACCTTGCGCTGCGTGTGCGCTTTGTTGGAGAGAGCGGATATTGAAGTCACCAAGGAAGTCACATACCCGGTCTGGTTCTTAGCCCGAACCGGTTATATGGAAACTAAGTAATGTCTAACTTTTCTAGAAGCTATTGTTGCACAACTTAGTAATTTAACACTTTTCTCTATTATTTGAAAAAAGAGCAGAAAAACCGGAGACTCGACGCAAAACCCTAGCGACGCGGACTCGCGCCTTGGCAACTTTGACCTGATTGAGATTGGGACAAACTGTAGTATTTTTAATGTAGCTCCACGACATCGAAATTTTTTCGCACAACCTCGCGACTAAGTCAGACGACATGCATTTTGAAATTTTTCTTGTTCAGCAGCTCCATCAGCAACAAACAACAAAGCTCAACGGCAGCAACCGAATATCTATTGCCGGAAACTGATCATCTTGGATGCGATCGAATCGTTTTGGATGCAGATTCTGAAAAAGACAGCTTTGTTTGACATTCATCATTCATTCGCCTTTTCAAATGCTTTAATTCTGTCGTGTTTGTAGAACGGGTATTTCTGACTTAGTCTAACACTGTAATGTGGTGTTGAAATGACAACGATTCTGCGATAAATTTGTTTCCTATACTAAATATCTTCACTTGAAATATCACAGTGACTCTGTTCCTAGAATTCTTTGCTTAAGAACAGAATGAGAAAGAATAAGTATAAGACCGAATAACATGTAGCGTAATCGAAAAGAACGTAAGTACCGAGCTTTACAAGGCCAAAGAAAGGTAAGCTGGCTTTTAGGTCAATGTTCTACCAGATTACTCTGCTACCAGTCTACTATCCGTGGAGTGTAGAGGCTCCATTTGCATGTAGACGGGTCGAACCGTGACCATTCCGCGTGTGGCGGCGCCTCATACCACTGCACCACGTTGTGTATAATGTGTATCTCACCAGCTTGTAAATTATAAACGCAAACAACACATAGTAGCCTAAGTAGATCAGGTTAACCTATAACAAACCTTAGGTTTTACTTTTCTCAAATGCCTCATCCTATCGCAAATCCAAACATAGCGTTATCAAATAAGCTTATGAAAAAATACTCCACGACATTGATAGGAGCGTCCAAAGTCGAAACGATAACGCAACAAATTATAGCAATTGACAAACTATACACTATTGGCTTTTTTTAAAAGTTTCGGAATTAGTAGCTTATACTTTGAGAAGAGCAAATTCCCATTTGTGAATGTTCATAAACTTTTGCTACATATAATATGTGTTTGATTGTAACTCAAGATGCCAGAAACTTCCCAGATAACCCGTGAAAATACACGCCTTCAAATCTTTTCCTTTCTATTAGGTTGGATAAATAATTTCGTTCGATTTTGCGGCTCCTGCAGATGCTGCGGACAATTTTTTGTCTAGTATTCGGCACTACTGGAAGGAGCACTTCAATAGGAGTTGGAACTCAAAATCTGTTTGAGTAGTTCACTTTGCAATGAAAGAAATCCGCAAAAAAGTAAGAAACGCAATTTTCTCACTGTGCGCAAATATGAGAAAAATTGGTTTTATTTTACCAAAGAATTTTGAAAGGGCAGATTACAATTCTTATTGGTAGTCGCTATGTAGGGAAAACTGTTTATATCCAGGTGCCAAATTGCTGTTCTCTACTCCATTAGAGCATAAAAACGAAGCTTAGAAACTCGCAGAATTGAGCTTTTGGTATTTTAGGCATGTTGGGGCACAAGTGTCCCTTACTAACAATTTAAAGTTCTGAGTTGATGTGTGATAGAAGAAGCTTTGAACTACTTATCTACAAAAAATCATGAAAGAACGACTAGGAAGTTTTTTAGATTTTCGTGCCAAAACGGAATAATTTTTTATCCAACCTAATAAAAGTCAAGGGCTCAAATTTCCCAAAAGTACAGCTGCAACGCTTCGATTAGTCTTACCAAACTTTCCACATAAGGAGTATCAGACTCGTAATGTCAATGCTCAATCTTGGATTGTGGAAGTTGTCAATGACTTCATGATTGAAAAAGACAATTCTTTTGTGATCTTTGTCAGCCGTCAATCACCCGTCTCAAAAACGGTTGATTGAACGTATAATTATCCTTGAAAAGCAGTGGTTCATGCAATTTTCACTGCTATTATGATTGTGACGATCGTTACTAGCTAATTGTATATACACTGCAGATCATTTGCTGCAAGTTTCGGTTTTTATAATTACCTTTGATTTTTCAAAGCCTTTTTTAGTCATAACCACAAGTTCAATTAATTATTTGCTGGCCGTTGGGAGTTCAGCTTCAGGATGTCATTGCGGTCCTTCATAATCAACATCTACTAGAATTCCCAGATGATAGAAAACAGATTACAAAACCATTCGTGAAGACAAATGGTATAAAAGGACAGCTCCTTCTACTCTAGAAAAAAAAGGGTTTAAACCATTTGAACACCATGATGTTGCGAGAATTGGTTGTTCATGCTTTCTGAGAACGCGTAATATCAGGCATACAATGTGTCTTTAGCAGTCTAACAATAAGAAAAAGAGTCCCTTACAAGCCAGGTCGGTTCAGTCAAATGCCCTTTTTCAAATGAGTTCTGTACCGGTTTGAAGAGCATTAAACTCTGATTCCATCTGCTTTCATTATCTACCAGGTGCCTCGGACGCCGGGTTTTGAGTGTTTTTGGAGCAAAAAATGAACGCAGAATTCAAATGAAATCGACTGTTACGGTTTTTTTCTTCAGAGCTCATGTAAAGCAGTGTTAAGTATGAGTGTATTAGGCATAAGTCACTAATGAGTGAAGTGCTCTGGTATTTTACTGGATCATTTGAGCTATCCTGGACGAGTTTTATTCAAGTTGCGTATTCAATTTTTCAATGTTAGAAACGCTCATAACTCCGCGTCCAGAAGCGTTTAGCAGATAATCAAAACAGATCTGGAGCCATCTTTCATTGCTTTTCGAAGTGGTATAGGAGTCACGATAAAAGGCTACTTCAACTAAAGTAAACTTCTCAGTCTGCAGTAAGAATTCTTTTGCTAAAAGCCTATTCTGCACCCTTGTAACTTCTTTTTCTCTTTGAATTTCACAGTGCCCGCAATAGGTTGTTCTTTCATTCACGTAATATTGAGCTCATTTACAGCTTTTCTTTTTCAATTAAAGATTATCCTCACACTGTAACAAGGCGATTAATGTCTATTCTGCAGTGAAAATGACTCAGCGGATAACAGCATTCAATCCATTAAAATTTATCATCAATAAGGCCAATTGGCTCAGCCAATAAATAAAAAATCGTACATAATTGTTCATATCCTCTTCACCATCAAATACAATCAGCAAAAAAACCTATAATCTATGGTGTCAAGCATTAGTGCTTCCTCTCCGTCACAAACGGATCTTCCGGATGTCCTTCCAAACTGAAAATGACATCAATTTACAAGAAAAAAATTGTTAGCGCATCTGTCTTTGAGTCTTTGACGTAAGCTCATCCCCAAAAAAATCTAAAACCTATAGTAAAAGCGCGGATAATCATTACAATTTGCTTGTGAAGGGGAAGAGTGATGATGTAATTTGCTGATGTAATTTTTTTTTGAAAACTCACAAGTCCTGAAGGAATAGTCGTTGACGATGAGGGGTCGACTCAAGTTCCTTGATCTCTTCCGGAGTCAGTGAAAAGTCGAATACCTGGAAGATTGTCCCATAAATTGGGACAGATGCTAAATGTGCAACTCCAGAATGAAGATAACTGTACGTTATGGTACTTACATTGAAATTCTCCTGAATTCTGTTCGCATGCACGGACTTCGGTATGACCGCAATATTTCGATCTATCACATAGCGAAGCAAAATCTAAACAACTTTCTAGTTCAAGTCAAGAAGAGCACATAATTTGATACCTGTGCTGGCGTTTTCTTGTGCTTTTCGGCCAGTTTCTTGACATTTGGATCTTCCAAATCTTTCGGGGCAGGAGCCCATTCCAGCTTGCTTAAAAATTCGGTGATAAGAGGGCCCAAAAAAAGAAGGAACTAACGCTCCACTGGCGAGAGTCCATTCTACACGTCCAGGAGACCCCAGCGAAGCATAAGACGTCAACGAAATGTTATGTTTTTTGCAAACTTCATGAAGTTCATGCTGAGGCCAGTACAGGTGAAGTTCCACCTTTACGAAAATAGGACTTGTCGTTGCTAATAGCTAAGAAGATCAGATTATTTACCTGCACGTTATGGATTGGTACTGTAGCGGTTTTCATAATGCGCTCAATTTGCTCCCCACTGAAATTGGATACACCAATGGCTTTGGCCAATCCTTTCTTGTGAACTCCCTCTAATCCCTTCCAAATATCAAGAACAGTCACTGATTTGTTCTGTTCTGTCATTTCGTGCTGAATTTGATTAGATCTAGTGCGAGTTAAGTGTGAGATATTCCAGAAACGCACATTGAAGCATCCAGGCATATGAGCCAGATACAGATCAACATAGTCAAGTTTGAGTTTACGAAGAGATTCTTTCAAAGCTGGTTCGGTATCGTCCGGGTGGAGGTGGGTTGCCCACAGCTAAAAGTGTTTTATTGAGAATTCATCCATAATGGTAGAGCTCTATCTTACCTTTGTGGTTATAAAGAGTTCTTCACGCTTGACCTTTCCACTCTTGATTAGCTCTTCGATAGCTTCGCCTATTGCGCTCTCATTCTCATAACACGCAGCTGTATCGATGAGTCGATAACCATTTTCAATGGCGGTTTTCACGGCTGCTTTTACCTCAGCTGGTTTTGACTAAAAAATGGTAGAATTTTTTTTTGCTGTCGAGAGCAAAGTCAAACACTTGCCTGCCACGTGCCCAGCCCGACCTGCGGCATCTCTAGGCCATTGGAAAGTTTGATCTTTGGTCCACCAACAGTCATGTCTAAATTCATTGTTTGGGAGTCATCAGGAAATTACATATTAGGGAAATGCACAACGGAAAGCAAATATTAAAATGTCTGAAGGTGTTGCAAACTGCAAATCCACTCGGAAAACGCTGCATAAATAGTTTCAGTCAAGTCATCGTTGTGATAAGACGGCAATGAAACGCTTCGTTCTGCTGACAGCAAGCGACGAAAGATCAAGGAGAGCCCTAATCTTTTTCTATGTAGTTTGTTCGCGCTGCAGATAATATTTTACTATGTACTTTGCCATTTGTATTTCCCAATTTTTTACTTTGCTGAGAACTAACAGTTTCATCGTATACTCATAGTATGAATCTTACAAGGGATACATGTTGAAGTGATTCCAATTGAGTTCTTACCACTTTGAAAAGCATTGAAAGCTGATTTCAAATATGTTTTTTTATTTGCCAAACGCATCCAGACGCCGAGTTATGAGTGTTTTTTGAAGCGAAAAATGAAGGCAAATCTTTGTAAACACTACGGTTACAATCTTTTCTGTTCTCAAATAGAGCAGTGTCAAGTGTGAGGGTATTGAAGAGAACTTATTCATCAAATGAAGTGCTCTGATACTTATCATCTAACCATTTGAGCAACTCCGGACGAGTTTTTCTTAGTTGCGCATTCAAAATTTCGACTCAAGAAACGCTCATAACTTGGCTTCCAGAGGCGCTTGGTAAATAACGAAGACGGATTTAGAATCATCATTGAATGCTCTACAAAGTGGTATAGGACTCGATTGGAAAGGCTACAGACTTGAAACGCTTTCCTTGTTAGCCTAAGCTCTTTGATGCGCAGTGTTGCTGTAACTTCAAAATTCAGTGGTCATATCAGATTCAAGTAAAGGTGCATGACTGAAACCTTTTGGAGAAATTTTGCTAAAAGCCATAGTCAAAGGATGGCGTAATGAATATATTGAAGTCGTTGAAAGTTACTTACATGAGTTGTAGAAATGTGCAGTGACTTGTCTCTACTTGTACATATTTATCAAAACTCAAGTGGGTTATAGGTCCGCAAAATTTTGGAAAGCGTCTCAGAAAATTTTCGAATCGCGTGCCACCACCTTCATTCGAAAAAAAATTTTGTCGTCCCCATAATACCCTCGAATCTTGAGAATCTCATTGGCATATTGATCTATTTCTCACCCCATATCTGACGTTATAGTAGAAAGTCATCCAAACAAATTATTCACAGCAGTGGCAAATGAATCGCGGAGCAACAAACCTTAGATTTTCCTCGAAGATTACGCAGGGTAAGGAAAAAATCACCGCAAGTTTGACTAATTAAAGGCGTAATTTTGGAAGCAGTATGGTTCAATCTCGTACTATAAGTGGTGTAACCAAGCATTACTGATATGAGCAGAAAAAATGCCAACAATAAAGGAAAAAAAACTGGCATGTGAATGGGATCCATATGAATTCAGTGAGTTTTCTAACAGAAAGGTAGAATTGCACACATGGAAATCAATGAAAATCCTCCAGAAAAGCAAATGAAACTCTGCAAGGCAGAGAACAAAAGGAAAAATGATATTGAAATAAGTTAACGGAATATTCATAGAGTTGAAACGCTGGTAAATATTTATTCTATAACAACAGATAAGAAACAGAAGTGCAGTTTGCAACTGACTTCCATAATCTCCACACTGACAGAACGAAAATGAACTCTGCACTGATGATTAAGAATTGTGAGTGTGCGCTCACATGTATGTAATGCGAAATCCAAACATTGGTGCAATACATGAAATTGCAAACATTAACAGATTAACTGATGGAGCACTTGGCTGTGCACTGCTAAGTGTGCACAATACCGCTCATAGAATTTGCAAAATTCCCCGAATGTAGCGGACTTCCGCGAATTCCCGGAGTTTCGCGACATCTACGGAAATTTTGCACATTGCGAGCGGTATTGTAGATCAACAGCATGTTGAGAGAACATAAGGAGGCGTCATCTATTGATATAATGGTGACGTATTTGTTGTAGAATGGTTTTACTTGCTTTCGCCTCAAGAAACCGAAGTTCCTTGAAAGTGATGAGAGTCTGATATCAACGTTATAATATTATGATTGCGCTTCTCCTTTTACTGAACAATCACAATCAAAATCGATGCTGAAGCTCTGGACGACGCTTTTGAATATGAAATTCATGACTTCTTTGGAGGGTACTAATCTTAGCAACGCAATATTTCAAACTCATCAGTCAAGCTATAATTTGGTCAAGCGCGAGTGATAAATCCTTCTATCCTTCTATATATATAAAACCGAATGGTGTATTAGGTTGTAACAGAATTAATGCAGGTTTTCTGAACTTTGTGTTTAAATCATTATAATTTTTTACACAAATGGTCTTTTCGTGTACAACAAGAATTGTTGTAATTAGCAAACCTTTTTCAACTCAGTATGCATTATTTTGTTGTTGTGGCTTCATTGAGAAAGATCTTACAATCAAAGATCTGCCAAGAATTTTTTCGAAAAACCTTCACTTTGAGAAACCATAACTTACTATCAAATGTAGTAAGGCAGCGCAAATATAACTCACTGTGTAGCCTATGGCCGGTTGTGCAGCAGCGCTAAAATCGGAATTGAAAAAGAATTCTGTGCGAGAGGATATTCGAAAAATTTTTGAAAGTACTCGTTTTTTCCACTTTTCTGAGAATTTGAAAAGTTGCTTTTCTGAAACTTTTGAATTTTTTCAAAGCTGAATAGAGAAAACGGCCTTCGATTTTTTCAGCCATAAACGTCTGAAATATATTCTTCCTATATAAGGCGGAAGCTCCGCAGTCGCTTCGCGCTAGGGATTTGTATATAGGGCAGACGGACCACAACGACCGTTGAATTTTGCTCTGGAATTTCTCGGCTCAGGTGTTTCCAGAATTCATGATTCAACATGCACTTTGTAACATAGCTCACTGAAAAATACTGTGTAAATTTGCAGCAAATTCCGATTGCCTTTGGTGGTTTTAGCTCCAGATTTATTGAAAGAAAGAATTTCGAGATTTGGTTTCTTAAATTCATGGGCTTAGAACTTCCAGACAAATTCACTTCTCCTGAAGCGAAAGAGTGCATAAGAAATTAGAAAAAAAGAGCTTTCAAATGGTATGCAAAACTCTCTGAGAAATTACTTTCCCGTTCTAAACCAGCATTTCGAAAAAGGTGCGCGAAAAACCTGCATTAATTCTGTTACAACCTAATACTTGTCTGTACGCTGGTGGATGCTGTCTATATATCCTCGATGGTGTTTTTCTGGTCGATGGTATTTTCGTGTCTGTCGCTTTCCAGTATGGAAACTTGTTACTATTAGGTTGTCCGGAAATCAATGTCCGTTTTCGTTTTCAACCGCCAAAATTTGTACATTTTACATTTCTGAATACTCTTCAAGATATTATTCGATAGAGCAAAGCAGGCTCTACAAGATGGCAGTTTTGCTTTAGCGACAGCTCTGACCCATCTCGAGTTCCGAGCCAAAAACTAAAAAGATTCAACTGCCTGAAAAATCGAGAAAAATCATAATTCAGTTCAAAATCCTAAAAATTCTAACTTGCTCACGTAAACACTATCCACATAAAACATATATGTACGCCGTTGCCGTATTTTTTCCTCTGTTGTAAATCAAGAAAACGAAAATTTCCATGCTTTTGCCAAAGTGATGCTGTGTCGTCCCCACATAAGTAGATGTGTACTACAAATCTGTAGAAGTACAGACGTAAATTTGCAGCTCTCCACAGGCTTTAGTTCTCAAAAAATATCGAATATAGCTTTCATTAGTCAGGTGGTTCAAGCTAAAAATCAAATTTCTCGAGAACTAAAGCTTGTAGAGAGCTGGAAATTTACGTCTGTACCTCTACAGATTTGTAGTATACAATTAAATATGTGGGAACGTCACAGCACCACTTTAGCAAATGTACGAAAATTTCCGTTTTCTTGATTTCTAACAGAGAAAAAATACGGCAAAGGCGTGTTTAGATGTCTTATGTGAATAGTGTTTACGTGAGCAAGTTAGAATTTTTATAGGTTTTTTATGAACTGAGTTACGATTTTTCTCAATTTTTCGACAGTTGAATCTTTTTAGTTTTTGGCTCGAAACTCGTGGTGGGTCAGAGCTGTCTCTAAAGCAAGATAGCCATTTTGTAGAGCTTGCTTTGCTCTATTGAACGATCTTTTGAAGCCCATTCAGAAATGAAAAATGTATGACTTATTGCGGTTGAAATTCAAAACGGACATTAATTTCCGGACAACCTAATACTTCCACCAAATTAATCGATTTTTTTGCAAATTTTGAACTAAGGGGCTCGGAGTTGGCACAGGGGGTAATCGAGTATGCTGATTACGAATACAATATTAGTTTTTAGAATTATTAATTAGTTTTATCATTTTGTCGATTTTTTGCAAAGTTCAAGCTACGGGGCTGGGAGTTGGCACAGGGGGGTAATCGAGCATGCTGATTACGAATATGATAACTATTTTCAAAAATACCCATTACTTTTATCATTTTATCGATTTTTTTGCAAATTTCGAACTAAGGGGCTGGGAGTTGGCAAAGGGGGATGATCGAGTATGCTGATCACGAATACAATATTAGTTTTAAGAATTATCAATTACTTTTATCATTTTGTCGATTTTTCAAAGTTCAAGCTCGGGGCTGAGAGTTGGCACAGGGGGTAAGCGAACATGCTGATTACGAATATGATAACCATTTTCAAAAATGCCCATTACTTCTATCATTTTATCGACTTTTGCATTTGAGCTACGGCGCTGAGAGTTGGCATATGGGAGCAAGCGAGCATGCCGATTACGATTGTAATAAGTGTTCTTGAAAGTACCTATTATTTCTGTCGATTTTTCTATTCTTTGTAAAATTAGAGTTACACGGCTGGTTTTTGGAACAAGGTTGTATGTGAGCACGCTCACTGCGAAGAAGTTACCGTTTTTGAAAATACCCATTACTTTTATTGATTTTTTTTTTGAAGCTGAAGCTACGAGGCTGAGATGG